TCCTACAACCCCCCACCCACCCGAACCGCCCAACCTAACCCCCCCTACCCCCATCCTTCCTCTTTTCCTCCAGTCCTCTAATTGGAGGTGCCCAGGTTAGAGAATGTCCCGGTTATCGCAAAGCCAGCAGAGAAACGCCATTCAGCTCCGTAATTCCACTGATGAGTGACTTGCATTTTCAAATATTTAGCGTGGCTGTTTACACAAGCCGCGCGTCATTATCTCATTCATGCACATTCAAACGCCGACACGAGTTTATACAGGATAATTAATTCCGAGTCTGCCCCCGAATGGGATTTTTAATAGATTCCGGGTATATGTATGGGAATTCATATCTGGCTCTAAAGCGCAGACATTGATACTGTGTTTGTGTAATTCTCTCGGCGCAGTAAGTGTGGTCCCAGTCGTCTCGGCGCGTATGAAGAGCTTGTCTGTTTTATGCTTCATTTTGACAAACCGTGTGCGCTCCGTGCCAGTCACTTCCAGGCAGCCGCAGCTACAATAAACACCAGCCTCTTTATTTTTTTTCTTCTTCTTCATCTTTTTTCACCCCCAATTCATATTTCCCCCCTCCCCCGTTTTCTGTTCAAATCAAGGCCCGGGTTTGATCCCGAGCAGAAAGCCAGGGCCAACTCACTTCCTTCTGAGCGGGGGCCTGAGCCCAAACAAACAGGATCCCCGGCGCATGCGACGGCAACTCCCCGTGAGCCGCGCACCTGCACAGTGTTACGGCAGATCTAGCCACATAGAGCCAGCAGGGCTCTGTGTGTTTGTAAGGCTGAAATTTGCAAAAAATAAGTAAATCATTAAAGCTGCAAGCAGCCTCGAACGGCCCTCGCAGCCAAGCGCCGCTCCGGCCTATTGCCACCGCGGGGTACTAGCAACCGTCGCCTCACGTCATCCACCACAGAAGCTCTCACGCAGTTTTCAGCTCCTCCGCCCGCACCGCGGAAGCTGTTGCTCAGTTTCCATCAACGCTGGCCACGTGCTAACACAGAAGTTGTTGCGCAGTTTCCACGCCCGTCCACCAGGCGGTACGCACTGATGCGTTTGGAGGCGCTCCTTGACAATGCAAAAAATGTGGTGCAGATTCATTGGTTTAGCGAGGAAATATAGCTGGCGGATTAATGTAGGACGCGCAGTGGAGCCAAAATATATTTCAATGCTGTTGTTCTCTTTAGAGGTCAACAAAGGTCATACGTATCCAATTTGGCGTCAGTCGGAAGATCCACGTGTAATTTACATCCGATCATATGCACATGGCGAAGTACTACAGTTCGTAATTTTTCATCATTTTCAGCTGTGTTTCTAAAGCACTCTATTTCATTGTTGGAGTAATTCTTACACAGAGTGGCGAATTACTGAAATGGTTTGTAAGAAGTAAGAAAACGCTACATTTACTGCATGATTTAATTCAACAAAAATTATCTGAGACATTTCTATCCTTTTAGAAATTTCATGGCAACGCTCTCACAAAGTTTTCGCGCCCATCCGCCCATGGATGTGTTTATCAACGGTGGAGGAACACTGACACCTACTGGCGAAATACTGATATTGTTCTTCATCCTGTTTATCTGCCGTTTCATTTGTGGAGCAATACTGACCCCAAGTGGCGAATTACTGAAATGGTTTATAAACACCAAAAATAGGATCAAAATCTGAACTTCAATCTAAAATGGCCGACTTCCTCTGGGGTTTAGACCATGGCTCCAAGAGACTTTTTTGTAAGTCCTGACATGGTACACACGTGTACAAAGTTTCGTAATTGTAGGCTAAAGCATGGTTTGGGGCTGAACATTTAAAATTTTCTAGGGGGCGCTATAGAGAAATTAGGCCACAGCCTACAAATATTGTGATGGATTCCTGTCGGGGACTGGATGAAGATCCATCCTTGTGAGTTTGGAGCAGCTGCGCCCAAAAATGTGGAATTGAGAGCCAAACGTATGGCGATGGCGTTACAGGTCACTTCGCCACGCCGCCACGCCCAGCTGCTCCATCGAAGCTGGTCGGGGTTGGAATCCTCAACACACATGTCTTCTGTGTCTGGGCACAGTTTCATGTTGATGAGGTCAAAGGGGTCAGATAGCGACCTTTCAGAGTAAAACATGACACTTCCTTTTCTCAGGGGGCGTGGCCTAAGTGATGTCATCATTCGACCATAGGGTATTGTAGGACACACGATGATGATCAATCACAGTAACTTTGGTGCCTCTGTGAGTTTCTGTGTAGGAAATATAGCAGTTTATGTTTTTATGGCGTGTAGGTGAACTTTGACCCCTGCTAATCCCCTTTCAGCATTCTCAAAAACTCACCGTTTTGATAACTTCAGATGGGACATGCCTTATTAACGGACTGACCGAGTTTGAAGATGATCAATCGAAATCCCTAGGAGGAGTTCGATCAAACACGGAGGCTGTAAACGGCAAAAATGGGGTCAAAATCTGAACTTCAATCTAAAATGGCCGACTTCCTGTGGGGTTTAGACCATGGCTCCAAGAGACTTTTTTGTAAGTCCTGACAAGGTACACATGTGTACAACGTTTCGTAATTGTAGGTTAAAGCATGGCTTGGGGCTGATCATTTAAAATTTCTAGGGGGCGCTATAGAGAAATTAGGCCACGCCCACCAAATATTGTGATGGATTCCTGTCGGGGAGTTGATGGCGATCCATCCTTGTGAGTTTGGAGCAGCTGGGCCCGAAAATGTGGAATTGAGAGCCAAACGTATGGCGATGGCGTTAGAGGTCACTTCGCCACGCCGCCACGCCCACCTGCTCCATCGAATCTGGTCGTGGTTGGAATCCTCAACACACCAAATGTCTTCTGTGTCTGGGGACAGTTTCATGTTGATGAGGTCAAAGGGGTCAGATAGCGACCGTCCACAGTAAAACATGACACTTCCTGTTCTCATGGGGCGTGGCCTAAGTGATGTCATCATTCGACCATAGGGTATTGTAGGAGACCCCATGATGATCAATCACAGAAACTTTGGTGCCTCTGTGAGTTTCTGTGTAGGAGATATAGCAGTTTATTTTTTTATGGCGAGTAGGTGAAATTTGACCCCTGCTAACCCCCTTCAGCATACTCAAAAACTCACCGTTTTGATAACTTTAGATGGGATGCCTTATGAACAGACTGACCGAGTTTGAAGCCGATCAATCGAAATCCCTAGGAGGAGTTCGATCAAATACGGAGGCTGTAAACGGCAAAAATGGCCTCAAAATTGGACCTTCAATCCAAAATGGCTGACTTCCTGTGATACTTGCACTATGACATTAATTGTAAATTTTGAGCATCTTGGGGAGCTCTACAAGTGTACCAAATTTTATGTCTCTAGGATAAATTAAGTGAATAGCAAAGGGTCCTTTGAAAATTTGTAGGTGGCGCTATTGAGCCATTTTTTATGGGATTTTTGCAATGACCTTAAAATACAAAATTTTGAAACTCCCTTACGCGTCCGCCAAGTTTGGTGAGTTTTTGAAAATGATAAAGCCCCCAAAAAGGCCCCTCTTTAGGGGGGCAGAATAATAATAATAATAAGAAACAGTAGGAAAACAATAGGCCTTCGCAGCGCTTAGCTGCTCGGGCCTAAAAAAAAGCAGCAGAAGCTCCATAAAATGACTTGTAGACCAGAAATGCAATGGGACAACAAAGTTTTTATTTTTTATTTGAGGCCTCAGTGGGAAAAGCGACTTGAACGTACAACCACTGAAGGGGGCGTCACACTTTAACGAAGGAACGCGGCTCCTTCACGGATCTGGAAATGAACCGGACTGGACTGGCTTCTGATTCTCTTCCTGATATCTGAGGCCGATTTCGAAATTTGACCTTGGTCTGATTTAACATCACTGGACGTGTCTTTTTATTGGGTGTATGATGACTTCTGGCTTCAGGCTTTGAAACTGAACAAAAGAGTGTGACTCCTCTCACTTGAAAAGCACATGTTGTATTTCCTCAGGCTGTCTTTAGTCCATGTGAGCTTGAAACAGGAAATACAGCAGAGTTGCCAGTTGTTTAGGTAGCTCTGAAAGGTGACAACTCGCAGCCTCTTATAGCTACCGTTAAATAGCCACGTCCAATTATGGCTGTCCTCGTTAACATGACAGGATGTCAAACAAGCACTTCCTGTTAGACGTCTCTTATCTAAATTGGCCAAGTCTCAGAGGGGGAGTCTGGCTCTGAGGCGACCACAGTCGCTAGCGTCTGCGTCTCATCCAGAAAAGCTCAATTTGGAGCCAGTTTTCTGCTGTTCTTTGAGAAGATGAAGCCAGTTTGAAGAGCTCGAGAAATGCTGAACATCATCCAAAAGACCCGTTGTACTCACCCAAGCAGATATTTTTGATTTTTAACAAACGGTCCCTGCCGACTGTCAGTCAGACACTGAAGCATTGCCTCTTCACTCACTCTTAATAAAGCCCAAACACAATCTCCCTGTAACCCCGGCGAGACGCCAGGCCTCCTCACCGCTTCCTTAATGCACTATTCATGCTTTTTATTAATCTCTTTTCTCCTCCAGCCATTTTTCAAATCACTTCGTCTGTTTACTTATGAATATTTTTAAACCTTGTTGGTGGAGGGGGAGGGCAGCGGAGGCATGAAGGCCATCGACGAGGCAGAGGAAGAGCGGCCTGGTGGCGATCAGTCCATGGCTGATTGGAAACAGAAATGCTGCTGGGTAACCCGACCTTACAGGAACTGCCTCCACACCAGGATCAGGTCACGTGACCTCCTGCCCTTTCGCAGGAAATTGTTGTTATGGGTCTGGGGTCTTGCAACCATTTAGTGATGGTACAGTAACAGCTGCATTAATCAACTCTTCATAGAAACTGGAGGAACTTTACTCTAAGGTCCCTTCATATGAGCCAGTATTGACCTGGAGACTGGAAGGTAACTGTTGAGTGAAAAGCACTGTTATGCTATTGAAACTTCAGAAGACGTTGCACACCTTCAAATCAGAAATGAGCTCATACCAGCAGGAGATTCTACCACTTCCTCCACCAGGTGCAGCTGAAACAAGAAGAACAGACGTTCCTTCCAAACCTTCTGAAACGGTGACATGTCCAGAACCTGGAAGCTAGAAAGTGGGCTTGTGCCTCGGCTACGTCGCGGTAAGTCAGCATCACTGTTGTATGGGATAAAACGAGGATGATGATCACACCAGACTGTCCATAAAAGTAAGCGGCATCGGGCTAATCTGTCACCCATTTCCATTTTTCTCATTTTCCTAGTTTAAGAGTGAGGACTGAGCAGAGGACATGGGAGAGAGCGTAATGAAAGGCTTCTAAATGACAGTGGGCTGACAGTGGGATTGGCTGGTAAGTGACTGGCGGAGTGGCTCGCCCGCGGAGGCTCCCAGTAGGCCTGATTAATTCAGCTCTCGGCGACTGCCGGGGTTAGCGGCCGCTCCGAGAGGAGCCCATTACCGGCACTCCGTTGAAACTGATATAATCAGCTACGCGGCGACCCGGCCCTTCCCCGAGACAAACTTTTCCAGGACACGCTCCCCAGTCATCCCACATGGGGCCGGGAGGGAAGGTGACGGAGGTAGAGGCGGCGGCGGGTTTGGAAGAGGGGTACAAAGGATTTTCTTTTTTGAGACGTGGTTAGGGGAGCTTTTGTTAGAAATCCTCTCCACTGCCCCCCACCCCCACCTCCTCTCTAACGCTGCACCTCTGTATCTCTTTATCCCCATCTCTCCCTCCTCCTCCTTCCCTCTCTGGCTGATTTCCTGCAGCTTTGATAGTGACAGACCCTCCCATATGGCAGCAGCTTTAAGTCTGGTCAGATATGAATATGTCACAGCTCTTAATCCCGGACGCTTCACAAACCCGCTGCCAGTGTGGTTTGTTTTATCTGATGGCGGGGGGGGGGAGAAGCTGCGCAATACGGCGCGGCCTCCTGATCTCTGCTCTGCCGGGTCGGTGGGACTGCAGCCGCACCTGCAGCCGCATCTCTCCAAATTACACGGATTACAGTTTCAACGCCGTGATACATCTTGCTTATGGCAGAGATTTTTACCTTAAAACAGACGTTTATGGCTCAGGCACAGACGTCGTGACGTTCGTTATCTGCGAATCTTTCAACTCGTCCTTCAACTCAAGCGCATAAAAGCCTCAATAATGTCGGAAAATACACATAAGCACAATTTTCTGTGTTTTCATAAGCGCAAAGCTACCTTCGTCCAGCTGTATTCCCGTCCCAGACACTGGTTTTGATAAAGGTCATGAATAATACATGCTAAGCGCTGTACTGACGACCCCAACCCAAGTGTTAAAATATTGATCTTGGCCAATCATAATGAGGAGAAATTACTGAGAGCAATCCATCACTGTAAGCCGAGTGTCTGCTGCTACTCCAGGCTTGCTCTGCACACACACACACACACACACGCTCACATTACAGCTCAATAATAATAAAGATGATATCAGAGCTGCAGTTTGCGCACCGTGAAAGGTGGGGTGTTGTCATGCAAATTAAGCGACAACAAATCCATAACGCCACTAAATATATTTGGAGGATTACGTCCCCGTTCATGTGTGCAGAGGAAATAAATACTTTCGGTGTTTGCCAGCGCTCGTGTTGGCTTGTGTGTGAGGAGGAGGCATGAGTGGGTGTTTAGTTCCCTCGCTGGATGACGTTCCCTTTGCTTGCACGACTCCAAACATCAGGTTTCTACGACCAGGAATGATGCAGACGACCGGGACCGGCAGCAGCTCCCGACAAAGACAATAAAAATGTAGTTTTGGGTTTTCTGTTTTTTGTGACAAAAACTTCATACAGCATCGAATCAGAATTAATTCAGTCGCAAACTGACTTTATGCTTCCTAGCGAGGCAGTGGACCGATTGCTGCGTATAAAAATTGGACCCAGAACTGAGACCGGTGGATAAATTAGTTTTATGTGCTATAAAGAGAATGTTAAATATAATCAACAGGTAGGGAGGACAAACAGGAAGTAATGTGAAAACAGGAAGTGACTTCTTCATCGTCTTTGACCTTGACAAACTTTAATCCTCAGAGTTGTAACTATGTCCGTTCACTGGGGATTGTTTCTCCCACAGGACCAGGTAGAAGAGCAACGCTCCGTAAACAGGAAGTGATGACGGCAGTGGGGTAAGTCGATGTAAACACACAGATCCTCTTCACAGAACAAACAGTGGTGTCAACAGTGTCCAGAGTCTGGACACTGATTGAATTTCAATTGGACTGAACAGACGCATTTCAGAATTGCATTTTTTTGGTCAGTAATTGTGGAAAAGGGCCATCATTTTATTTGCACTTGACAAAATATGATCTAGTTTGTGTTCTATCAGATGAAATTCATCTAAAAGACACTGAAGTAGTTGTCTTAATGTTAAAACAGGTTCTGGGGGGGTAGAACCTGATGTCCACTGCGCATCGTATGAAAACTGTTTTCCTCTTCATGTCCAGGGTTTGTTTGAATCTATTATTTCCACTCGAACAAACAATCTGACGTCTACGGTGCAGCCGAAAACGTCTTGAAGAACAGGATATTATTTAGGTGTCCTAATTTTTCCCCTTGTCTGTGTCCGGCGCCGTGTTTAGAGGGAGATTGCTCCGGCAGCCTCTGATCAGATCAGCTGCTCCACCTCCGACCTGGTAGCCCACACGGCCGTCAGCAGCACCTAAAGGTTATTGCACGGGGCCGCCAGCCCAACGCCAACACCTAATGAGCTTTTAAATATTAAAAAGCGGCACACATCGCCGCCACTATTGTGAGCTCTTAATTTACCAAGCAATTAGGCGCGGGGGCCCTCATTCATCAACGCGCGTCGGTTTGCTGAAAACCTAGTCACTTTTTATTAATCGCTGGCACGGGAAACAGCTAGGTGGAATTAATGCGCGCCCAGTGGAGGTCAGGGCGGCCACGCCGGCGTACCGCGACTCACTGCGGCGGGGGAGATAAATAGGAAGAGCCGTTTGGTACTCACAGCGGAGATCCGTTGAGTCGCTGGCACGAGGATTCGGCCTCGGCGGCTGGAATGGATGGGGGGGGGGACCAGGAGACGGAGCCCATGACCATCTGTTTTCGCGGTCGTTTTCCTGGGTTCTGGGAAATTAACCAAATCCCTATAAAAAAAAAAAGGAGAAACAACACTTCTAACCTTGTTGCAACTGTTGCTTCGATGCCTCCCATTGAAGCAACCTACTTCCTCATTCAGAAAGGAAGGGTGTTTTTTTGTTTATTTTTTTAAAGCTGAGCACCAACAGACTGTCTAAACACGAGGTATTCAATCAGAACAGTTCTGAGCCAAATATAGCTTCATAAGTATGAGATCTTATTGAATTGTCGCTAAGCAGAGTGGGTGTCTCTAATACTTAATCTTATTGCAAGTTAAGACATTCCCAACCAGTCGTCATTTAGCCATCTGTAGCTGAAACAAGCTAAGTGAAGCTAAAGAAAAATAAGGTCAGAGACGTCTTCGCTTACCTACTAAGGTAAGCATTTTAAACCAGACTAAGCGAGGTTTCACCAACTAACTTAACCTAGCTTAGTTTGGCCTTAATTCAAACTAGCCTAGCTTAGTTTGGCCTTAATTCAAACTAGCCTAGCTTAGTTTGGCCTTTATTCAAACTAGCCTAGCTTAGTTTGGCCTTTATTCAAACTAGCCTAGCTATGTTTGGCCTTTATTCAAACTAAGCTAGCTTAGTTTGGCCTTTGCCTAAGATCAGTTTAGCCTAACATTAGCTTAGTTTATCTTTGCTGACTTTGCAAGAGTTTGATTGAGCTTAGCTAATTTTAATCAAGTTTTTTTTAGTATAGTGTACCATAGTATTAGTTAGTTGAGGTTTTTATCTTACAGTAATTTTGCTTATGTTGGTGTGTCCTCATTCAGTTTGACTTACTATTACTTGGTTTAACCTACTTTCAATAACTCCATTTTTAGACCAACTCTACATTGTTTACAGCCCTCAAACAGCTTTCTGAGTAATTGGTAAATATGCTGCTGGATTACTAGATATCCACTCTGGCTTGAAAGAATCCTAAGCACACGTAACTCCCCCTGTTCGGCACAGATGCCAAACCTTTTTGCAAGATTTTTTTTTTTTTTTCTATTTTCTCCCTCCTCCTATTTTATCGCATGATTGATTGCAAACAAGCATATGGTTGTCCGACCTCCCGAGAGAGAGAAGAAAAAAAAAACATCCACTGGGGAGTTGTTAGCTAGTAAAAGAGTCCATCTGCTGGGATTTCTTCTGTTCTGCGAATGTTTCTTGCGTCGGTCGTGTTTTTCGTCGCATGTGGGTTTTGTTTTGCTATTTTTTTTAAATCAAAACTAATCAGCAAGATGTGATGACTGGAAGGGTGACCCTCAGGTACTGACCGTTCACTTTGTGTTTAAACGCCGCAGCCAGGTAATCAATGCTGCTCCTCTGACCCGCCTGCTGTGCACAGTATTGCGCAGTCATAATGCTTATCAATAGGTTAATGCGGGTCAGTGGAAGCCATTTGCAGAAGAAACATGGCTTCCTAACTCCCTCTGTCACATTTATGCGCGTGGCGATATATTATATATTGTCTCACTTAAATGCAATCAAAGCACCGCCGCCCGCTAATGAACGATGAGACACCTGCTTGGCTTGTGTTTACAGCAGCATGCTAATGTTAGCTCCACCCTGGGACGGCTATCCGCTATGATGTGCACAGGTGTTGTTTGCAGCGTCGCCCCCACTGTTTTGCTGTCTGTCAGTCCAAGCATTGTGAGATTCAATAATAATCTCGCCGGCCGCCGGGGGAGTTGGTAAACACGCTGCATCCCTGCGAGATAACTCCGTCACGCCGTTTTCAGTTTAGCTTCTACATCAAGTGTCTCCGGATCGAGTTGTAGGAGGGGAATGAGGCAAACTGCTCTTGCACATTACAGGGCAAAAAGTAAATCCACAATAATGTACATTACTACTGGAGGAGACGCTGCTGATACTTTGCATCAGCAACAATCCTCTAGAGATTCAGGCCTGAACAGCCTGACTGCGTTTAGCTTTAATTGAACGTTGACAACTGGTTTGATGCATTTTAGCTACGTTCGGCATTGAAGGTGAAACCAAATGACTGAAGCTATCATTGAAGCTAATCGGTTTGACTGCGATGCGAAGGAGATAAATGTGCAGACGTGAAAGTGAAATGCCAAATGATTTTGGACAGAAATGATATATTCCGAGTGTCGCCTGGTGTGGACATGGAGCAGGTGCCTCATGTAAGGCATTTGGAGTTCCAAACTCCAACCTGAAGACCTTTGTGACGCGTCTTCTTCTCTCTGACTTGAGATGCAAGTATGCGTTTCGCTGTTTCTCTACACCTCCATCCCCATACCCATTCTCCAGACCTTTGACCCTAAAGCGGGTCTTTCTGCAGGCGGTGCCAGCTTCCAGCTGCTTCTTCCAGACCCAGGACCCAGCACAGCGCTAATACGCTCCCATTCCTCATCCAGACAGTCTGTAAAGCACTGGGGCAAAATATTCTGTCTCCCTGAGCAGCTCCTAATAAATTGTCCTTTCATTGACGCGCAAGACAAATCTTGCTTCCCTGCCTCTCCCTCTTTCCATCCCTCCCTCCCTCCCTCCTGCCTCGCTGAACTCTTTCTCGCATGTTCACAGTTGCTCTGCTCCCTGCGGTTTAGTGAAACTGGCACACTTACCCCACCTCTCAATGAACTACAGGAGCGGTTCAGTCGGCCAGAGCGCTCTGCAGACAGGAACGGAGGATGCAGCAGCAGCGGAGAGCAGCACAAAGGCTTTAAAAGGCGATGAATATCGGGCCCAGTCCTCCACTTTCCCCATCCCGTCTCCCTGCCTCTGCTCCCCGCGCTGGCACGACACCACGCCGCTTCCGCTTCGTAATTGCGCAATTAGTGCCAAGCGCCTGGTTTTCATATATCACAAATGGCTAGCCGCTGCTATTAAAGCGGCCCCAGCGCCGGGCTAGCGGGCACGGCTAGCCGAGGTGCATTAAGGGCAGCGTTTTGTAAAATGTGAGCCAATTTATCATGATCTGTTTTTCGCTCCCACCCACTGCTAAAACGCCCCTACTGCCTTGTCTTTGAGCCTGACCTTGTACCGTGCTTGTGTGTGTTTGTGTGCGTTTCTGTGTGTGGAGGTTCAATTTGCTCATTGTTACTTGCTTGCATAATTTCAGGCGGCTGGCTCACACACACACGCTCATACACGCACGCACGCACACTGATTGCTTGCACCGCCACTTTGCCTTCCTCTGTCTCTCGTTCGACTGCCTTCCCTTTTCGTCTCCGAGCAAAAATCCACTCATTTATATGCCGAGGCTAAACGGTATTCATTTGTAAGATGGCAAGCGGTATAACACTGGTAATTCCTCCTCACCAATTTCCAGCGCACTTTCCCCTTTAGCTGTCATAAGCAGTGCATTAAGTGAGTGAGGAAAATCCGCTCCATCTCCACCGTTTGGCTGCTCGCCTTATTTTGCAGATTTAAACGCCTGGCCGTTCATTCGCACGCCGCCTCTTGCTTTTATTCCCTTCGTTTTTCTTTTTTTTTTTGGTCAGGTGATTTGAGCTGAGGAGAACACCCCGAGCTCATCAGAACCCCGCTGGTTCCTCTGTCCCGGAAAGCCGCCCCGGCAGCGCCTGGCGCAGCAGAAAGCCGCCCGGCGCTGCGGCACCCTGCTGGGGCGCCGGGGGCCTGGAGGGAGCCTGAGGGCGGGGCTCGGGCTGCCAGGGGACGGTATTAGAACATTGGGGTTGTTGAAGAGCAGCTTTGAAAATCAATTTTAAAATTCTGGGACTGAACTGGATTAACAGCAGGTTTTGACTAGGCCATTCTGCGAATAAGTGTAAACATCTGAATGTTTAGGGAGGTTGTTCTACAGGTGGGTGAACCTCCATCTATGCCTCTGATGGGGTTTCAACCTGAATGACCTCCAACTATCCAGCAAGCAGTTCAGGAACCAAGAGCAGACCAGTGAAATGTTGGACTTTTTGGTCAGGAAACATTTTTTTTTCATTCAGAAAGTCCAGAAACTAAAAACCCAAAAGCCACAAAAAGTTCAGTGAATTGGGCTAAGCTAATTCACAGTCCTGAGGTGATGAAGGGCACAAAGCCAGTTCAGATGACAAACCTTT